GAAGCCGCCGCCTCCAGGCAAGGCGCCGTTGTGGTAGAAGAAGTAGGACTTGCCGGCAAAGTCGATGATGCCAGGGTGGTTCGTGAAGCTGCCGCCCTCTGTGGGCATAATCTGGCCTTGGTAGGTCCATGGTCCCGTGATAGTTGGACCCGTCGAGTATCGAATGTCCTCGGGACAGCATACCGCCGCGAAAATCATGTAGTACAAATCGCCCCGCTTGTACACCCATGGAGCCTCCTCGAAGGTGGTAGCACGCGACGGGTTGCCTTCACGAGCCCCGAACCCTTCCGCGGTGAGATCCACTTTGGTGATTTCCCCGCTGTACGAGATCATGTCCTCGTTCAACTTGACATACAACAGATCCGGGTTGCCCCAGTACATGTACGCCTGCCCGTCGTCGTCAATGTAGACCGTCGGGTCAATCTGTCCGTTGCTGAGAAGAGGGGCGCCGATGGCGTCGACGTAGGGGCCTGTGATGGTGTCGCTTACGCCTACTCCGATGGACATGCTACCGTTGATCGCGGTCGTCGGGACGTAGAAGTAGAACTTGCCGTTGCGCTCAATGGCCTGCCCGGCCCACGCATTGGCCTCGGCCCAGGCGAAGGTGGCCACGTTCATGGGCGAGCCGTGGTACTGCCAGTTGACCATGTCAACGGAGGAGAAGAGGAGCCATTCGCGCATGTCGAAGTTGGTGGAGTTGTCTTCATCGTGGCCGGTGAAGAGGTAGACGCGATCCCCGACCACAAGGGGTGCTGGATCAGCTGTGTATTGTGTCTGCACGATAGGATTGTCGGCTTGAACACGAACAATGGCGGACAGAAGGCCACTGATCAAGAGGAATGACTTCATGATGGCCGAAGTTTGAGGCGTCTTAGTCATGGCGGCGGTAGTGGTCGGAGAGATGAAGGTCAGCGGAAAGCGGTTGAGATCCTTCGAATTGAAATAGCAGATGACTGGAGAGCGACCAGCATAATTATACTAAAAGGTACGGAAACTTCAGCAAAGTTCCCTACCTAATTTAATTGCCCGAGGCTGAAGTAATGAGATGTTACTCTACGTGCCATTGCGTCGCGATGTCAAACGCTGGATAATCATTGGTGCGGATGCATCGAATACCCGGCCCAAGCCGGGAAAGATGCAAATCAAAGAAAACGTGGAGAAATGGCGATTTCTCCGCGATTGTGTTTATTTCGAAGATACCGATACTCTCGTAAAGTCGCATTCGCACTTTCGTGCCACCAACACACTTTTAGGATCGCAACCAGGACCGTCATTAAGAGCCGATGTATGACAGGGGGGTCATAGACGCAACACAAACGGAATACGCCGCCTGATCACTCGCAATAAATGTGCCAAATCTTACTTCACTGCAGCACCTACATGATTTTTGACTCCAAAGGCTTACTAAAACGAGTCTGTGAAGTTAGCCATCTCTCCGTTCGGACCTCGGAGGACACCCACGAGAGAGAATCGCTATCGCCCAGGTCACAAGAAATAACGCGCAGACTCAACCTTCGACAGCTGCGTTCGTATGAGATCCACAATAGAAGCGCGCAGCTGGAAGTAAATCTCGCCTCAAATTACATGAGAAAGGGACGGTAGGAGAATACGTCCAGGCCAAAATAGGGTGAGCCAGCCCACTTACCCCACAAACCATCACGTTATCGCTATCCGCAAGCTGGGGAGAGGAGCGTATCCCGGCGCTTGCGGCTAGAGGACCCAAACTTTGAGCGCTGACCTTACACACCTCTACAAAGTCTTCTCGCTTGTATTCCAATTGGTCTCAATGATCTTGGCCTTCATATTAACACCTTAACACGGCTTGGCATGACGACTAGTCTCTCTATGAAAACTGCAAAACGTCTTTCGTACAACAACAAACACAGATCTCCAGCCGAAAAAATCTATTTAACCACCAATCACAGCTTTGACTCTTGAACATGAGAACACTTGATTTCTTTTAACTGTATTATTGCCTTGGCACACCATTGTCAAGAGACGGGAAGTCGCCAGATCCAGAGTTGCCAAGGACGACAGACGTCAAAATGCAATTGGGGCGTTTCAAACACTTTGCGATTTGAAAATTCAGAAAAATCACAACATGTTCATCAGGAATGCTTCCTCTTGTCAATATATATCGGACATCCTGCTTGGTGATTGTGCCTTTGTGATCCACGCCAGCACTCAGCCAAGTCCCCACAGGAAGATTCAACGATGCATTATTCTCGCCTTTTTGGTCTTGTGGCTACGGCTACCCTTACTGGAGCACTCCTGCTTCAGGTTGATCCCGATAGCCCTGGCCATGAGATCAGTCCCCTGCTTCATGGACTCATGTTCGAGGACATTAGTAACAGCGGTGACGGAGGTACGTAGTCTTCACCGTTTACACGACAGACCTTCGGGGTTGGTTCGTCACGAATCTAATACTATGAAAAGGTCTCTACTCACAGCAACTCCGCAACAACGCCTTCCAGGGCAAGGTGACCACGCTCGATCCCTGGACTGTCCACTATGGCTCGGCTAGCATTTCTCATGACGCCGACACCCCATTGACCAGCGCCATCACTTCGTCTCTGAAGATCACTGTCCCTCCCGGATCTGGTGGCTTCACTGGCGTCGCGAACCCTGGGTACCGCGGTATCATCGTCGATGGCGGCTACTACAACAGCACCTTCTGGCCTCGTGGCGACTTCCAAGGCGATGTCAAGATCCGACTGCTGGGAAATGAGACTGACGTTGAATACGGCTGGGCCATCATTCCTGTGGACTCCAAGGCCGATTCCTGGACCCGATACGAGGCCGGTTTCTGGACCACAGCGGCCCCCGATGGTGACAACCTTTGGGTTTTCGAAATCTTAGCCGAGACTCTGACCAGCGGATCCATCAACCTCGGTTACCCCACCCTGTTCCCTCCCACGTTCAAGGGAAGACAGAATGGCTTGACTGTGGATCTGTCGGAAGCCCTTGTCGATCTCAGCCCCCAGTTTCTCAGGTTTCCTGGTGGCAACAATCTGTAAGCCACCTAAGTTTCCTTGTCCTCTGAGTTGACTAGACTTACTAATCTCTTCATAGAGAGGGAGGCGGCCCGGACGACCGATGGAAGTGGAACGAGACACTCGGTGCTCTGGAATCCCGGCCAGGTCGTTGGGGTAGGTCTTGATCCCATGCCGTTGCAACGTTGATACGACGAGGCTAATCGTTTCTTCACGCTGGTATAGGTACTTGGGGATATGTCAACACTGATGGTCTTGGCCTCATGGAGTACTTCCACTGGTGCGAAGACATGTCTATGGAGCCTATCTTGGATGTTTGGGCTGGTCTTGGACTTGCAGGTCTCCCGCCATTGGTGGGAGCAGAGCTTGAGCCATATGTTGACGACGCGATTCGCGAGATAGAAGTTGGTTACCTTCTGCTTATCATCCAGTCGCAAGCTAACATTTACAGTTCGTTATCGGTGACATCAACACTTCTGGAGGCGCGCTTCGCGCTTCCCTCGGACATCCGGAGCCGTACCAACTCAACTTCGTCGAGATTGGAAACGAAGACAACCTCGCTGGTGGTTGTGAGTCTTACAAGGAACGATTCGTGCAATTTTTCGACGCCATCAAGGAGGCGTACCCGGAACTCACCATCCTCACATCCACGTCCGACCGCAACTGCCTGCCGGACCCGATCCCCGAGGGCGCATGGCTCGACTTCCACGACTACAACGTCCCGGAGAACTACATCAACGCTTTCGACTTTTACGACGACTGGGACCGCGCTCATCCCGTTTTCATCGGCGAGTACGCCAGGTGGGGCGTCAAGTGGTCGGACATGCGAGGTGCCTGCTCTGAGGCGGTCTATATGATGGGCTGGGAGCGCAATGCGGATGTGATCAAGTTGGCTGCCTATGCGCCCACGCTGCAGAACTACGACCCCGTCAACGGCCAATGGACTGTGAGAAATTCTTCCTCTCGTCGAAGCCCGTATAGTCAGCTAACGTATTTCTGACTAGCCCAACCTCATTCCATTCACCAACAAGCCTGATGGCATCGTCTACACGCCATCATACCATGTTAAGAAGATGTTCGCCACTAATCATGGCGAAGTTGTTGTCCCTGTCAAAGCTGATGTGGAGGTCAATCCAGGTAAATCACTCAACATCCTCATCCCTTGGAATAATCGTTGACCATTCATGTAGTTTGGTGGGCTGCGAGCAAGAAGGCAGATGGCCAAGTCATTGTCAAGCTTGCCAACTACGCTTCAAACTCGACTGAGGTTCGCATTCAGGTCCCTGGTAAGGCGAGCTTGGAGGCTTCTTTCACTTCCATCACTGCCGGCCCAGACGACGCCAACTCCGTCGAAAACCCTGACGTCATTGCTCCACCCGCTGTACTCAATATCTCTGGAGACGACGAGGGAGTTTTCACTGTTGAACTGGGTCAGTTTGGAGTTGGAGTTCTGGTGGTATAGAACTGGTTCGTTTTGCGAACATAAAGCTTCGGTGGAAACTGGTTGATCACTTCCAACGAGGACGGGGTCGAGAACGGGGACGAAGGTGGCGATAAGATAGCGTGACTATGATGTTGGACTTCAATTCTTCTTTGGGCATCTGCAAATCAAGTGTTCCTACAGCACTTTGAGTAAATAATTACACTCAGTCCCTTTCAGTAATCTCTTCTAAGTGCGAGGAATATTAGGATGGCTCGCACCTAGTACATGACCCCGAGGAAATCAGTAACAGAGAATGTGCCAGGCCGCACGACTAGACCAAAACCTCTACGACCAGTGTAAACGTTTGGCCGGCTATGGGTAGTCAGAACCCATACCTGAAGCTCATGCAGCCCAGGGCATTGAGAATTTCCTATGTCGCCCCTGCTTTCGCTGCTACACACGTGACATTGCCATTTCAACTGACAGCATCCAGCGACAGCATTTAGATAGGGCATGACGAGATTGACATTTGCCAAAGGTATTAAGATTACATGTACTCTCATGGTTCTAATAAACCTGATGATTTATTCCTTGTCGAAAGGCTTTCTGGCCGCTTTCTCAATCTTGATTTCAATCGTCTTGGTGATACCGGATGGTAGAGGAGCTTCAGCGAGACCCCGCTCGTTGATGTCCTCCACAAAGATGGTTTCGCCAACATTTTCGGACGTAAACAAGGATGAACGACTTGTTCCCGACTCCCTCCGAACTGGTGACTTGCCTGTATGGCCTCCACTCCACGTTGTCACATACGTTGCGCTTCCACGCGGTAATTGTTCGTGCTGTGTATGCCGTCTGGCGGCAAGTTGGAAAGACGAGTTGTCATGCGCACTCTGCTCAAATACGAGCCTTGAGGCAAGGATATCAATACTTGAATATTGTCAGCTTCCACGAGTGTGGCCATAATCGCAGAATCAAGACCCACAAGATAATGACAGGAAACATGCATTCCAAAGTGTAAACAAAGCGGTCTATCTGACTCGCTACCGTTTCGGCCTTCTGGATTGAAGGCTGGAAGAAGTATGCGACAGCCCGCGTTATTCCAATCAACGCTAGCACCGCTAGGCGAATTTCGGTGCTTCGCATAAGGTGCTGGAAGAGAGTCGGCACCATCGAAGCTCCCAAGGACAGACTCTTCGCCTCCGCGAACTTGCGCAATAGAAAGTACGCGCCAACGCACTCTAGAAGTGCCATGGAGGTGAAATAGCCCACGTGCAGCCCGTTGATGGTTGTTCTTAGCTGCGACTCGCCGTTGACCAAGATCTTCACCCGAGCAGTGAGAATGAGGATTCTGAGGACGAAGATGGCGACCATCATGAACCAGAACAGGGACATAAACACAACGCGGTCCCGATTCCTTAACACCTTGGTAAGAATGGCATAGCTGTAAAACGAGATACCGGCCTCTTGGACCTATCAAGGATCAGCATCGATGAACACAATTGTTTCATTGCACAAAAAGAATGGTCCTACACTACCATCCACAACAAGTCCGCAAAGGCAGACGATATCGCCGTGTTCAGGATAGGGTAATCTGCATAGAAGCTGTAGTAGCAGAGGCCATTTGCCGTGGCGCCAGCCGCCGATACGATGATAGGGATAAGCGAGACCGGGGAGAAGGCGGTGATGCCCGCGATCATGAACCCGAAGAGCACGTTTGCCAAGCCGATTGTGCTGAGGATCGCCCAACTGGTCTCAAAGTAAACGACCGCCATTCTGCCTCCTGAAGCGCCCGCATAAGTTGCATCGAAGTCAAAGCTTTACATGAACTTTAGTTTCCCCACAACTGTCTTATACAATTCGGGGCGACCGACAGCGGGCGTAAAGGGGACGAGCTGTCTCGCTCGCATGAGGATTCGCAGCCACGATTGCATTGCAGAAACTTAGACCGTTACGCAGACCTGCTCAGGAGTCTTGTCTTGCGCTCCAATAGCCCGCGCGAGAGCCCGCACCATGGATTTGTGGCTGGGGGCTAGAGTCGAGGCGCGCCAATGAGTGGCAGAGAGAAGCTCTACCGGAGTGTGGGGGAGAAACCTGGGGAAAAAAACGGTCATGCCGATCGTTTCAATACAGCTGTGCCTCTCTCATGTTGTGATTAGCTTCACTACATGATTGGATATGTCGTGGTATTACAGCTGTAGTTGGGTTGCAGTGTCAACTCGTGCCGGTGGGATGGGAAATTTCCCCGCATGGTTTTTCAAGCGAGAACCTCAGACTCGCCGTAATCGTCAGAGTCTGACATCCACACGGGGAATAATATCCTCAGGAACCCAAGCTTATGCATGACAGGTCACAGGACAAGCGGTCGCAGCACCTCTAGCGGTCTAGATAGGGAACGTTGGAGACGATCTCTGCCTGGAACCGGCAACTGACAGTGGAGCTGCCCTGGGTAATGTCCAGCGGCTGGATGTACGAGCCAACTGATCAGGCGACTGATGAGGTTTTCACAGTGATAGAGGAGAGGCGTAAAGTCCCTTCAGGGAACAAATCACAGATCTGGTCAGTTTTCCGGACTTGGCTGCCTAGGAGGGAAAATCAGATCGGGCATTAGAACACCAACGTGGCGTTGCTTGCGAACGTTCAGCTCTGTCTGCCCTCCCAATCCATATCTTCCGGCATAAGATTGCCGGGTAATGTCAAAACCTGTCTTGGGTGACACTGTCACTTCAGATAGGATATGATAGCATGCAAGTTGTGGCTTCTAGAAGGAGGGGAAGCTTCTGAAACCGTCCGAACTTGACCTGCATGATGCATCATGGCCACATGTTTCCCACATGGCAAGTGACGGCAGCATTGAGTGCCCGCAGATCCTTCAGTCGGTGTGAGGGCATCATCCATGTTGGGGATGGTGTGCCCTAATCGATGCCTTCGCATCAGCCACGCCAGTGGCTTTTCTCTTATAACAGTCTCCACGCAAGTCCAGGTTATGAATATGAATGAGATCAAGCTATGTGTTCATCCCAAGGGTGAAAGGCATTCTTATTCCAAGCGTTTGCTATTTACAGCCTTCTTCAGTTGACGTTTTGTTCTTTGGATGTAGCCCAGGCCACGATGCTGCTCTTTGCAAAGCCTATGCCTCCCAAAGTGCCAAAGAGGAGGACGCGAACAGGCATGTTATCTCCATTCTATTTCATACTTACCTTTACTTGTCGCTAACGAATTTCGATCTGTAGGCTGCGCCTCGTGGTATGCTACTTTTCCGCAGCAGTGGAACTCCCCACTGACATTGTCTCAAGTAAAGACGCAAGAAAGAAGTGCTGCGAGAGACGACCGCAGTGCACACGATGCGAAGAAAGAGGTCTGGACTGTGTCTACCTCCCAGTCAAGCGGCGCCGGTCTAGAGCCGACGGGATCACTTCCCAGCCGCGTCAAAAGGCCCCGGTACTGCGCTGTGAGCCAAAGACCGGGACAGAGTACTCCTGGGGACAGCTCTCCGAAGAACCCTGTGTCGAATCCTCCGAAGTGGCACTTTCCACTTCCAGCGTGTCATCATGCGACACACCTGATTGGGGTAGTTCGTCTTGCCAATTTGATCTTTCCGAAGATCAATTGGACTCAAGATTGTTCGAGCAGTTTGGAAACATGGATGAGCCAGGCTCCTGCTCGGATTTCACGCAGGAACTGATTACCACCTCCGCAACCTCTCAGCCAGGCCTTACTTCCATGCTCGAGCTGCCCTATCCCTCCTCCTTCAATCTCACCGATGACACCCAAGATCGGAAACTGATTCATCACTTTTGCACTGTTCTATCACATCTCATTGTTTTCACGGAGGAGCCGGACAACTCATTCCAAGAGCTCATTCTCCCACTTGCTTCCGAGAACTCCGCTGTCTTGCACGCCATGTGTGCTTTTTCCAAGGGACACCTTGAGTATATGGGCGTACAGGACTCCAAGCATTCATCCAACTTCCGCGTTCTGGCAGCGGAGGGCGTCTTCAGTCTCGTGCAGCAGAATTGCCGCTACGAGGAAGTACTGGCAGCGACCATGTTGCTCGTGTATTACGAATCGGTAAGCTCCATGCCCTTCTTGTTGGAACTTTACTGATCCAACACAGCTCACCCTCACTGGGTCCTCAAACATGGTACTTGAGCACCTTCGGAGTGCATTTGTTGTTCTGAGCTCCATGCCCAAGTCGGCAAAGAGCCAGAGCGTCAAGTTCCTCGAAAAGGTTGGTCTCAATACTGCAAAAACTACCGATACAATTCAAGTACTAATCGTAATCTAGGCATTTCAATTTTACGACGTCATTGCGGCCTTGTCACTCGCTGCCAGCCCAGTATCGGCCACGCCTGACTCAGACCACGAGTATCCCCTAGGTTTGCCATCTCCGAAGTTGACTCGGACGACCTTTGGAGACCCTCTTCTAGGCATGACTGGAGATCTCTGGCCTATTCTGTATCGGCTCAGCTCTCTCAAAGCCCTGAAGGGCGACTTGGAATCCGCCGTAACCGCAGATCAACAATCAAAGGTCTCGGTGCTACGCACGGAGTACGAAGCAACATCCAGAGCAATTGAGAACGCCTTGCAGGAGTGGGTACCACCAATACTGCCAAAGAACATCACCACGCCGTTTGAGACACAGGCAGGCGCACAAGATTCTCTACAGGCGATGGTGCACAACTCGCTGGCGTATCGCCATAGCGCACTGGTGTACTTGAACCGTTCTATCTACGGATACCCAGTCAACCATCCGGCTGTCCAAACGAACTGCTATCTAGCACTTAAGAGCTGTGTGGCAGTGATCTCTTCTGGCGGACCAGTGAATGCCCTTCTCTGGCCGCTGTTTGTGGCTGCTTGTGAGGCCATCACGGACCACGACCGTGGCCTTGCCAGATATGCCTTCATGGAAATTGAGAGAAGGCAAGGCATGATAAACATTGAGAGAGCTCGCGCCATCGTCCTTCATCAATGGGCCTCAGTGAGCATGGACAACGTGAATGACACCTGTAGTGGGCGGGTAGACACTTGGAGGGAAATCGCAGGAGGGATGGGGTTCACCATCATATTCGGCTAAAAGCGCATCACCTATTTTAGACCTATCTTACTACGTAATATCTAATCGCATTCATCAGGAATAACCGGTAAATCATTCTCTTCGTAGACTTGTCATTGGGTGGAACCCATGGCACAGACCCCTACTGTTTCTTCGATGATCCACCCAGGCGGGTGTCAATCGGCTAGACGATCGGCAGATCACACGCGGAAGAAGAGTCCTCGGCGGATGCTAGAAAAGCTGGAGTCAAGTTGATCAATAACCATAGCTCTTCGCGGTTCAAATGTGCTGCCCGGTCTGTTGAGCGCTGAGCTATCATGTCTCAGAAATACGTCACCTTGTTTGCCCTTCTGAACCAACCTTCGCTGCTCAGGCATTTGACTTCATTCACACATGATCCACATCATGAATTGACCAATCACATCATGATCCTGAGGTAGCTGCATTCAGCAAAAGCTGTCCCAGCAAGCAAAGCCTATGATTGAGATAGGAATGGAACATCCCCTAACATATTTCGCCGACTTTTGGAGAAAGCTGTCATGTTGTCGTGAAGTGGTTCACTTAATGCAAAATTTCAGTCACTGCGGATTTCATCAGCGCTGGCGAGCATCACTCACCTGCAGAGGGCCGGAGCGGCTGGGCTCTCATCCACGAGTGTTCAATCTTGGAACGAAAGTTCGGTCTTCAATGCCAATGTGAAATGTTGACAAGACATCAACAAGCCACATGCAGATACTAGTCAACGCTAGGAAATGATTCGGTCCCCCTTGAAGATTACTCTGAAATAGCTCGCAAAATATTGTCTCACAGCGGGCGCTCGGCATTGACAACGGCGATCATGTCATTCCTTCTCGACAACCAGACGTTCTTGCCCTGACATATATGGACGGCAATTCTTTTCATTAAATTCAATACATGCTCAGATCGTGTGCAAAAACCCGGTCAACTCGCTAATCGCAACATGACCGATCCCGCCACTGAGTACCACCCATGGGTCTCCGAGATTCAACTCGAAGTTCCCCAACTAGGCCCCAAGCTTGAGCCATGCGCCCACAAAACGAGCAAGTATGCGAACAAGAAAAGATTGGTGATTTGCTGTGATGGAACTTGGAATAACTCGTCAGTATTCGTATCACCGTAGGAGCTGAGAAAGAAGGCGCTGATGGAAGGGCTTCTACAGCAACCAGAAAGGCAACATCTCCACCAATGTTGCCCGGCTATCGGCTGCAGTCGCACACAAATGCTGCACCGGCATGCCCCAGATTGTGTTCTACCACCGCGGCGCAGGCACCGAGGAGTCCAAGGTCGCACAAGCCTTGGGCGGAGTGTTAGGGAAGGGGATTATTCAGGTGAGCTCATTTGCGTTACAATGCTCGTCTTTGAGCCGGATAATCATAACAAACTCGCCTCCTAGGATGTTGCCGACGTGTACCGTTTCATTTGCGACAACTACAACCCAGGGGATGACCTCGTCATTGTAGGCTTCTCCAGAGGTGCCTTCACCGCGCGATCCGTCTCGGGCATGGTCTGCAACATCGGTCTCCTCAATCGTGTCGGACTCGCCAACTTTGGGGACATCTTCCATGACTACCAGAACTTTCCTAATTGGAGGCCTGGCACCAAGTTCAATATCGAAGACCACCTCGCTGGCTTTACCCTCACCAATTACGAACGACTGGAAAGATTCCGGACAAAAGATAACAGGAAAGATCATGCCACATTACAGAAGGAACTCGACGAGGACAAGCAGAAGTTCTTCGACAGAATTACAAAGTGCAAGAAGCAGGACGTCGATGGCATGGACTTGATTACCATGGCTCAGAAGTATCGCGATTTCTTGGAGAAGGTTAGCAAGAGGACTTCTATCCCATATGATGATGATACTGACATGTTGATCTGTAGCATCAAATGATCCTTTGCGAGAGAACGTTGCAAGAGAGAGATGGCAAGACAGACTGGTACTTTGCACCAGTTGTTGTCACCATTCAGGCTGTCGGTCAGTATTCACGGAGGGACAAAGGTTCTGGAATCTAGCTAACATGTATAACAGGGGTCTGGGATACGGTCGGCAGCCTCGGCTGGCCTAAGATGCCTTGGGAGAAGATTCGCACCGATAGAAGCGCCGATGAAGTAAGCAATCTTCCATAATATTGTATTAGGCATCTGAGTTAACAGTCTTTAGCTTCGATTCGCCAGTCTGGATGTTCACCCCAATGTCGAGCACGCATTCCACGCCTTAGCCCTCGATGAATGGCGGACTGCCTTTTCCCCCACTCTTTGGGGCAAGAGGGGCAACACCACCACCCATCTTCGTCAAGTATGGTTTCCAGGAAGCCACAGTAACGTCGGCGGGGGTTTTGAGGATCAACAGATCGCGACCATTGCGCTTGCATGTATGTATTTGTTCGCCTTCCCTTGACGAAGCAGTCAGCAAGTGACTAACACCCATTTCTTGCAGGGATGGCGGATCAACTCGCCTCAGTTGGAGTTGAGTTTTCCACCCCAGAGATGAAGCGAATTTTCTACACCCTCGATCCATCTGTCGAGGCCCGAGAATGGGGCAAGGGCCGCATCTCTAGCCCTTCGGCGACTACCGCAATCCCCGACAAAGCTTACAACGCTCTTTGGTACCCTTGGCAGACCGTCACGGGTGGGAATACTGTGGCTGGCACGCGCACGCCTGGGTCCTACATGGAGGATGGCAGAAAAGACGTTATTCAAGAACCCAACGAACTCATCCACCCATCTGTACGCATTCGCTATCTCTACGATGGTCTTGGATTGGACGACAATGGCGACTGGGAATGTTCTGCTTTGACCAAGAATGGGTACAAATTGCAGAAGAGCAGCGTCCCTCTCCAAGTCGAAGATCCTCACCACAAGGACTTCATTGCGTCGACGTACGAGACGCTCAGTGGGACTGTCGCATCAGTTCACGGAGGAATGCCGATCGACCCCAATACCGATCATAAACTGGTCCTCCACCAGCTTCCTTTTGAGTCTGATCTCTACCAATTGGAGGAAGCGAAGAATAACTGGGTATGGGAGAAGGAAGGCAAGATTCTCCCAGAAGAGCGCATTGGAATGTGGGAGAGGCTCTTCATTGAAGTCAACCACAACCTTCTCTACAGACAAAAAGAGACACAGAGACTAAAGGAAGAGCGGGAGGCAGCTGAGCTCAAGAGCAATGGCTGGTTTTCTGGCATCCAGTCTTGGGCTGGGGATAAGGTCAACACTGCACGCAGCGCTGCTGGTAGTGCTCTCACCAACACCGTGGGCAGGCTGCTCCCTAGCTCTGGGAAGCTGAAGCCTGCGGATTATCACCCGGACTTTGGGTATCACGACTTTGTTTCTTGGCAGAAAGGGGACGCAACAAAGACTACCAGGAAGATTAGAACCTAGAGCTATTGAATGGGAAATTTGCTCTTCGGCCGTATACCTCTAGCTGCTAGGTATGTAATTGAGTAGAGCATTGTTCAGCGATTATTATTCCTCTTTCTCTCTACTACTAATAATCGCATATTCACTATTCTCTTCTTTGATGTTTCTTATCATACTCAATGAGGTCTTCGTCGTCCTCGTTGTCGTCCTTGTTATTGTTGTCCTCGTCATCGTCCTTGTCGTCGCCCTCGTCCTCGTCCTCGTCCTCGTTGTCGCCCTCATCGTCGTCCTCGTTATCGTCCTCGTCATCGCTGTCCTCGTTGTCGTCTCTGTTGTTATCACAGTGATCACTAGTCGCGTGAAAGTCGAAAAGTCTTATTGAGATGGAGTGGAAATGATGCGCACTGGCATCTGGGCAAGATTTGAATTTTGTCATTAGAAGAATGCAGGCTCCCGGAGTTGCAACTGAAACGAAAACATGAAACGAGTACCGCTAGAGTCTAAGGTAGCTATATACAAATTCAGTCAGTTATGTACATTTTGACCCGTCTAATACCCCGACTCAATTCTCTCCATTATTAATTCTGACCAATGTGCTTCTCGCAGCAACAAAAGTGCCCAGTGATCTGATAGTCGAGTCGCCAACCATGTCAAAAACGGCGACCTCAGCGCCCATCTCCTTCGACAACCAAGTCCTCAATTCCACGGCTACCAAGGAATCAACGCCATACGCGTGCAGGGGCTGCGATGAATCAATAGTGGCAGCGTCAATTCCCAGAGCTCTGGAGAGTTTCTGGACGATGGCCTTGGTAATGACGTTCTCAGCAGCCTCAAGCGTCTCGGCACCAGCTAGCAACATGCTGTAGTTTACAGAGTCCTTGCTGTCCTCGGTGTTGCCACCCATCGTGCGAATCTGGTGGATATGCTTGAACAAAGGCTCGTGCATCCAGCCAGGGAACTCAATACCCTTGGACCGGAGGGTCTCGGGGATCTCGAAGCCCAGCGAGATCTGGGATCGAACGAGAGGAGCAACTGAGTTGGCCGGGTTACAGATCTCGTCCAAAAGAGCATGATACTCTTCTTCTCTCAGAGCAGCATAGCCCTGGGCACGGAGGTGGCCCATGACGTCGATTTTCTCGGCGGCATAACCGACTGACAGGATGATGCCGAGATCGAGGACAGTAGCTTTGAGGCCATGGCTGACGCGGTAGCGGGCAAGGGCATCCTGGTATGCGTTGCCGACACAGTAGTTGGCCTGGCCGCCCTTTCCAACGATACCGGAGCCAGAGGAAAGGAGGATGAAGAAGTCCATGTCCTTTGGCAAGACCTCGTGGAGGTTCCAAGATGCATGCACCTTGGGTCGAACGGCAGTATCGTAGTCCTCCAAGGTCATGTTCGCAAAAACGGCGTCCTTGAGAACCATTGAGCCCTGGATGCATCCCTTGATCGGAGGCATGTTATTCTGGCAGTCCTCAAGAACGCGCTCGAGAGTCTGTCTACTGGTCACATCGCAAGGTGGAGCGACGACACGCACACCTTGGGACTCAAGCTCGGCAATGAGCTTCTGACCTGACTCACGAACGGGGCCGAAACGGGAGAGCAAAATGAGATTCTTGGCCCCACGCCGGACCATCCAGCTGGCCATGCTGCGTCCAAGACCACCCAGACCACCGGAAATAACATAAGACGCATTGTGATCGAAGTGGTAAGTTGGCTTCTGGCTCGGCATAATCTGTTTACTGAGTTAGCGTCAATTCAAGGCGCACAGTTGTCCGTCTACACTTACCATAACTTTATCGTCATCGTGCGGTTCAATCACGATCTTGCCGGAATGGGCACCACTTTGCATGTATCGGAACGCTTCCTCAACACGTGACAGAGGATAGGTTGTAACGGGGCGCAGCTCGCTGATCTTGCCCTCGGCAACAAGCTGCATGATAGCCCTGAGAACCCTGTTGAAAGAATCCTCGTGGTTCTCGCCAAAGTAGCTGACATCCAAGAACTCGAAGCGGACGTTGTTCTTGAACTTCTCCATATTCAGACGAGCAGACGAGTAAATGTCGACTTTCCCGATTTCAACAAAGCGACCGAAGGGAGCAATGACGTCCCAGGAGGCACGAAGCGCTGCGCCAGAGAGAGCATTGACAACGACGTCCACGCCTCTGCCCTTCGTCATGCGCTTAATACCCTGCGCAAATGTCAAGTCGCGATTGGAAAAGATGTGGTCTCGTGGGATGCCGTATTCCTTCTCGAGAAGCTCGCACTTATCGAGGGATCCCACAGTAGCGTAGACTTCAGCGCCGCGAAGGTGGGCAAGCTGAATGCAGGCCTGGCCAACACCGCCGGCTGCCGCATGAATGAGGACGGTCTCTCCAGGCTGAACGTTTGCGATGTCATACAACACGCAGTAGGCGGTGACGAAAACGACAGGGAGAGTGGCCGCATTGATGAAGGAGAGGTTATCAGGAAGCTTGGCGAGGGCCTTGTAAGGAGTCCTGGCGTAGGTCTTCACCGAACCTCTCAGCATACCTGCGACTCTGTCGCCAGGCTTGAGAGGAGAGTCTTTGCCAGCCCTAGTGACGATACCAGAAGCCTCGATACCAATCTGGTTGCCAATCACCTGACCGAGCGAGACCATGATGTCGAGGAAGTTGAGACCACTCGCCATCACCTTGAACTCGACTTGATCATCCGCGAGAGGCTGCTCGTATAGCGGATCGTCAATGAAATGCAGCGTGTCAAGAAGACCAGGCGATCCGACGACCATTTTCAGAGCTCTGCTGGGATCGGAGCCGAACTCTACTTCAACAGGTCTCGGCTTGTTCGTCTTGGCGTTGATGGCCTTGTCCATGTAAGTTGCCTCCACCAGACGGGGGATGTGAATAGTTCCATCAACCACTGCGAACTGGTTGTCCACAACTGACTCATCTCCAGAAAGGAAAATGGCATCAAACAGCTGAGTGGTGTACTTGGAGATGCTCTCAACGTCTCTGCCATTTTCAAGCGACAAGGTAACGAACTTCAGCTTGGGATTCTCCGCTCTGACGGTTCTTGAGAAACCAGTCACTAGCTCCGCGGTCGGAGTCTTGCATGATGGGCCACCACCAGCAGCCAACCACAAGAGACCACTGGCAGACGTCACCATCTTCTTCAGGCCGTCGAACTGCTCGGGTGCCATGTCCAACAAGAATGGGTGTGCCTGCAGATCACCCAGGAAGATGCAGACCTTGTGAGCGAAGTCGTCCGCCTGAAGGTCGAGGAGCGAGCAGATGCGACTTTCAACACCCAACTGAGCGAGGGTTCTGTCGAGATTTGCAGCAACAGAGTCAGAAACTCCCGAGGAAGAGGAAGTCACCAGCATAACCTCTGGATGAGCTCGAGGCTTCGCGTCTGCGGTGGATGCAGTGGCAACCATGAGGGAACTGACGTGGTTTTTGGGGTCATGGTAGTCTGTGAAAGACAAATCCACACCAGTGAACCCGGTCCGCTTCATGTGTTCAGACCAGTCAGGCACGCTGAGAAGGGGACTCCATTGGCGGTAGTTCTCCTCAGACAGCCACCAACCGGGCAGCAGACCGAAGCCAAAACCGGTTTGCATGAGGGTGTTGTTGGTGATCTCGTACAGAAGAAGCTGAGCACCGGGCTTCATCAACTTGCGGACGTGCTTTAGAGTGACATCGAGGCTCTGCGTGGCATGGAAGACGTTTGCAGCAACGACGAGGTCGTACTTGCCAAGCTCAAATCCCTGGGCAACAGGGTCGTTCTCGATGTTGAGCGTCTTGAAATTCATGCGGTCGACGGCGTAGTGGAACACTTCTCTGGCTTTCTCAAAGAATGAAGGGGAGATGTCGGTGAAGTCGTAGCTAGCAAAGCGAATGCCGCTGGCGTTGGGGTCCTTGTAGTGAGTGAGGGTCTGCAGCATCGGATGCGTCATACCGCCGGTGCCAGCACCAATTTCAAGAACCTTCATACCAGGCTCCTTAGTGGCCAGAGCATCCACATAGGCAGAAAGCCTCTGATAGCTGATGGCAGCACCCGTTGCGGCGCGATAGACATTTTCCGCGCGCTTCTCGGCGAAGAGAACCTGAAGGGGATCAAGCTTCCCAGCCAGAACGTCCGGCATGGCCCGACCGACGGCAACAACAAGGGTGGCCTCAGGAGACTTGCCATCCATCTTGTCCTCAAGCTCCTTGAGATAGGTGCCATCCTCTGCAAGCTTGTCCATTTCGGGGTCGAGATGGAAGTTCTTGCCATCGGCATACCGCTCGAACTGCCAGCGCATCCAGTCAACGTACTTTTGGTGGTGAGGCTTCATCTCCTTCTCCATTTCAGGAGTGACAGTCTTCATGTATCTCTTCATGTACAAGAAGCACAACGTCTCAAGGTTCTTGATAAGCTCAGATGGGTCGAACTTGAGAAGCTCCTCGTCAGCAAGGAAAGTGCGGGTGGCGATCTCCTGGTTCACGAAGCTGACGTCAGGCTTCCAGTCAATGTTGAAGCAGAGATGGCGGCCGGAGTCAGAACCGTTGTTGGAAGAGTTTTGAGCGATTGCGGTAGACACAAAACCCTCAGCAACAACCAAAGGCTCTCCAGTCGCTGCATCAATGGAAGTGAAGGTCGCCTCAGCCTGGCGAAGACCAAGGAACTTGGCGTGGGCGTGGACTCTGTGCGGGCTCTGGAGTTTGGCGCCGTCTGCGGAAAGCCAGAGCTCCTTGAATGACGTAGGAATCATCACCTTTCCCATCTCCTTACCACCCATGGTCATGGCGACGACAACGCTTTGGATGACACCATCGAGGGTAGTGGGGTGGATGTGATGAGGCTGAATGTAACCGTAGGCCATCTTGCTCTTGATATCGGGGGGCGTGACGGTGGCAACTGAGTTACGCTGGGCATCGATGCGAACATCAGACAGATTCTGGAAGGTAGGTCCGAAGTCAAAACCGACAGTCTGCAGGATCTCATAAAGCTGCTTCATCTGAACCTCCTCAGTACAAGACGTCTCAGCATCCCGGACGGTGTCCACACAGCGCTCGGCAAAGAGACGATCTTCAAGGCCGTTGTCAACGGGGGTGTATGGAACTTCGTACTCCGTCTGGATGAGGCCACGGCAGTGCTCAACCCAACCATCGTTCTCATAGCTGCGAAGCTCAAACTCGCTCCAGTTGGATGCAGCTAAAGCCGTGCTATCGACGTACGGGCGCATGTGGAAGTGAGTCTCAACGCCGTCGGAATTGAGAGGCACCCTCAAGGCCATGTGCAAAGAGACTTCCTTGAACCTGAAGCCCTTGATCTTTCTCTCTGGCGCTGCGAGCTGAAGGCTGGCCTCGATCGCCATCACTAGCATGCCAGCGGCCGGGTACAAGGTCGCACCGGTGACGCGATGGTCCTTGACCCACGGGTTCTCGTTGACCCTGATCCAGTTTCTCCAGATGGCATTGGACTTGTCCCAGTCGGGCACAGGAGCGCCCAAGAGTTCGTGACGAGCATGCTGCCGGAAGCGGTAGCCCTTGCTCAGACGGCTCTCGGCCCAGAAGGTCTTGGTGTGGTTGAAAGGATAGCTGGGAAGATCTACCAGAAGCTTAGGCTGAGCATCGCTGACTGCATTGAAGTCGATGGCATGGCCCTTGCAGAATAGCCAACCGACAGTCTGAAGAAGAGTGGTTGTGGCGGACTGCTTGCGCACGAGTACTGACTCATAAGCCACAGAAGAGGTGTTCGAGAGCTGAGCTAGGATCTCTCTGACAGGACCCTTGAGTGCCGCATGGGGACCAATCTCCACAAGCTCGGTAATGGGTGTGCCCTTGTACTTGGCTCCAAGTTTCTTGGTCTTTTTATTGGAGTCATTGACCAGAGCAGACAGAGCCTGGGAGAAGAGCACCGGGGAGAGCAGGTTCTTAACCCAATATCCATGGCTTCTAAGGGCGCTGATGTCAATAGCCTTGCCCTCAAGGGAGGAGTAGAAGGTTGGGCGAGCCGAGTCATTGAGGTAAACCCCAGCTTTCATCTTGCCAATTACACGGTTGTACTCGGCAGCGATGGGCTCCATGAGTGGGGAGTGGTAGGCGTTCTGAACAGTGAGCTTGCGGGCGAAGACACCATTCTCGTCAAGCTTCTCCTTGAGAGCATCGATGAGTTCGACGCTACCACTAATAGTGACATTCTTGGGACTGTTGACACAGGCCACAACTAGAACTTGGGTCTTGGATTGCTCAATGTCAGCAATGTAGCTCTCTGCCTCAGCTTGGCCCAAGCCGACCGACATCATGCCGCCAGTGTGAGAAACCTCACCACGGGACAGTTGAGAAGAGAGAGCGCCTCGGTGAAAGGCAAGTCTCAGCGCGGTGGACTTGGAGATTGCCCCAACAGCGTACGCTGCAGCAATTTCTCCGGAGGAGTGACCAACAACTGAACCGGCAGAGACACCGTAGCTCGTCAGCAGGTCAACCAAGGCAATCTGCAGGGCAGTGCAAAGAGGTTGACTGAATTCAGCGTCATTGACGCGGGAAGACTTCTCGTCTTTCATGAGCTCCTCAGTCAAGGTCCACTCACACCCAATCTCATGGAGGTAGTCCGACGCAGAATCCAGGCTCTCCTTGAAAGAAGGGACTTCGAGGAGTTCACGTCCCATGGCGTACCACTGAGCACCCTGTCCAGTGAAAATAAAGGCAAGCTTGGGCTTGGTGCCGGCCTTGATAGCTGTCAGCTTGCCGCCAAGCTTCTCGATGAGGGCATCGATGCTAGGTGCGACGATGTTGGCTCTATGGGCGAGTTGAGATCTCCGAGACGATAAAGTGAAGCTGAGATCCTCGAGGTACTTGGCCTCATCATCGATCTGATCCTTCTTAGAGGATAGGTACTGCTGGTAGGTCTCCGCAAGGCGGCCAATACCGCTCTCATCTGCAGAGGAGAGTACGAAAATTCTGTCTGCAGCGTTCGGGCCAAGACCTCCATTTGTCTTGGTGGCACCGGTGCTGTGGCCGTTGGTAGCTCCTAACTCTTCGGTCTTCACGCCGTTATGTCCGTTCGCGCCAGGGGCCTCGCCGTTAGAGTGGCCATTCGCCTCGATTGGCTCGGAGATCTCAACCTTGGGAGCACCCAAAAGCTTCTTGTTCGGAAGCTCGGCAGTGCAATGTTGACCCTTCAAGCCATGATCCTTGAGGTAGTTGAAAGCATCGTCCATGATGACGTGGGCATTGGATCCACCGTAACCAAAGGAGTTGATCGAAGCCCGTCGGAGACCATCAGTCGGCCACAGGGTGTTTTCTGTGGGGAACTTGAGATGCCACTCAGGAATTATCTTGGGGTTTGCCTTCTCGAACCAAATATTGGGAGGGATCACTCCTGTCTCAAGGACTTGGACAGCCTTGATGAGACCGGCAATGCCAGCAGCGCCCTCAAGATGACCAATGTTAGACTTAACGGCACCAACAATGAGAGGCTCCTCAGGAGAGCGATACTTGCTGAACACCTGGGCAATGGCGCTGGCTTCGATGGGGTCTCCGACAGGGGTTCCGGTACCGTGAGCCTCGAAGAACCGTGTCACACTCGGGTCAAGCCCAGCCTGGCGATAGGCTGTCTCGGCAGCGTCAACCTGAGCCTGCTTGGTGGGTTGAGTGATTCCAGGTGACTTTCCATCTTGGTTGGCAACAGTGCTGCGAATGACGGCACGGATGGTGTCTTGGTCGCGGACTGCATCAGAGAGACGCTTCAAGAGGAGGATACCAAAACCCTCGCCTCTAGAGTATCCGTTGGCGCGGTGATCGAAGCTATAACACTTTGAGTCTGGCGAAAGGAAGCCAAGACTAGTGAGGGGAATACAGGTGTCCGGGTTGTAGAAGAGATTGGCTCCGCCAACGATGGCCATAGAGGACTCTCCCATCTTCAAACTGTTACAGGCCAAGTGACAAGCCATCAAACTGCTCGAGCAAGCAGTATCAAGAGTCATGCTGGCACCGTGAAAGTCGTAAAACCAACTAAGACGGTTGGACAGCATGGCAGTACCAGTACCAGTTGCCAGGTATCTAAGATCGAGCTCGGGGTCACGCGTAATGACTCCATCGTACTCGCGTGTGAAGCACCCAATGTAGACAGAGGTATCGGAACCAACAGCTTTCTTCATGGGAATACCAGCTGACATGCTATTAGCATTTGATACATACTCCAATGCTGATCACGAAAGCTTACCATTTTCCAGAGCGCGGTAAACACATTCCAGCAGCCCTCGCTGCTGAGGATCCATGCACGCCGCTTCCGCAGGCGGAATAGAGAAGAAGGGGGCATCAAAAGCTGCAAGATCACCCTTGATATGGTGTCCCTTACGAATATTGATCTAGGAATATCATTAGTGATTGTGATAAATTGGGGAACACCAGGGATCACTTACAGCACCAGCCCTTTCGGGATCTGGATGATAGAAAGCATCAATGTTGTATCGTTCTTTGCCGATATCACTCAGGGCAGAACGACCCTCAAGCAAAAGCTTCTGGAACCCCTCGGGAGTCGAGGCATCACCAGGAAACTTGAGATCAATACCGATAATGGCAATGTCTTCGTCGTAGGTGCTAGATGCACTATTGTGGGTGGTTGTGGCAGGCATGGTGATAGATGAGTTGATGGTAATCTTGTTGAATAAAAGGAGAAGTGTCCAGGATATCCCTCACTCGGTTGAACGAATCAAGGCTTGCTGAATGATGGGGAATGATCAAAGGTGAGTATGGCTTGGAATGACCACACAAACTTCCTCGTGGTGACATTGGCCTTATATCAAATTCGTCAGTTTGATATCAGTGTGCAAGCTGAAGAGAGACGAAACCATGGTATTGCTACTACAGTGGAGTTTCCCGGAATGGCCTCATCTCAGCGGCTATACGATGACATGGCGGCGTGCCGACTGATTCATCTGCCTGTTCACTTGTCAATCTATGGCCTGCCGGTCCCATCCATCGGGTGAGGCTGAGTGACAACTATCAACCACGTTTGTGACTTCTCCGGCATGGGGGGTTGATTTCAGGATTGGAAACAAGCATTTCGAGGTATGAATCACATCCATACCGTGCCACCATGAGACATATCTCACCATGGAAGTAACCTATCGCCTGAATAGGTATCATCGTAAAGGAGATGCAGCTGAGATCCTTCCGTCAGAATATGGACACTAAGCAAGGTTGACCAAAGGATCATGACAACCTGAAGTTGTCTTGCATCAAGACTGACAGGCTGATCAAATCTAACCTGTCTAGTAAATAGCTTCAACGGGGTGTTGATCCACCACGCAACGTCGCTATTTGTGTCTCTCATACAAGATGTAAGCACGGCAACTTTGCCGGGGAATGGTGGCGGCGATGTTATCAGCCCGTACGTGGGAGGATTCCATCATGTAATTATGGAGGCGGGCATGGTCTAGGCAGAAGCCGTTTGAGCGGCACGATGGCCCGATTCAAGTGACTAGTTTAGTGTCGTTAGTGCCAAGGCTAGTCAGTGTCTGGAACCGGCCTTCTCAGCCCTAACTATTCTCTCCATTTTAGATGTCTGCAGGCATGGACGCCTAGCAGGGGATTGAATAAGTGGAGGTGGCTTGCAGTAAAAATGGTAGGGTTGAATCTACAAAGGTTTATGTCATTTGATATGCTGGGACTCAATTGAACAACACACGGTGGCAATTCATATCCATGGATGTGGCTTAAGACATGATTAATAACATTAAGTTGTTATCAGTGGCGCAATTACGCCGTTCTGCACTATTTAGGCTAATTCATAATCGAAGACCAGGCGGGCCGTCTCCCGTTTGCCTTCCTTCGTCACAACAATCTTACGAACATAACGTCTGATACCGTCAATCTCTTCGAACCCCCACGTTTGCTCTTGAGTCCATGCGTGGTCAAGATTTTCAACCTTGATCATGATGACAGGGTCTTGACTGTGCTCCTTCTGAAGCCCAGCTGTGAGGAATTTATCCTTGATCTGCCCCACTCAATTAGCTCAACGCAACACAGCCGGTGAACATATGTGACCATTAACACGCAATACTGTGTTCCCTTGGATCCTTCCATCGGATCTCCAATGGAGTTACGCCAGCATGCAAGGGACTTATCCGCAGGGTTCACAGAATATGGGTTGTAATTTTGGATGATGCAGGGCAAGTGAGGTGGGGGAGGGGCAATGCTTACATCGGACAGTGCCGACCATCCATTCTGGACCCTGAGACGACCAAAGTTGGCATCGGTACGCTCAACGACGTCCCAGTTGAGCAAACGACGCTCCTTGGCTTTGTGGATTCCCCCTCCAATGACGTTCTCGGCCTCGATCACGTCGACGCCATTTTCAGGGGGGCAGGCCTTGATGTTGATGACAATCGGTACGGCACCCATTGCCTTGCGGATGGCCCAATTGATGCCTTGCTGTTTGTTTTGCAAAATCAGTAGCCCGCATCACGGAAGGAGAAAATGTCTTCGTGTTAGAGTCTGTCCAGGTACTAACAATAGCAAGAAGCGGATCGGAACTGTCTGAAAGCTGCTTATTGGTTCTGAACTTGCCAGTCAAGTTGTGCAGCGTGCAGGTCGATGGAGCAGCCATTTTGCTGGTTCAAGGTTGTAAGAACAAGTGGAGACAAAATGATGAGCACTGAATGAGGTGACCAAGAAATTCGGAACTTTATCCCGCGTGGTATCCATCTCCTGAGTTTACCATTTTAATATTGATACTTCGGAAGAATCAGCTTGCCCATTACTGCCTGGTGATAGTGAGAGTTGATAGGCAGATTTGGAACTAGCCAGGATACAACTGCAAGGAATCCTTCAGATGTCGCTAGTGATGACAGGACTGTTGGCTTCACGAGTTTGCCATGCGCCGTGTTCACGGATTGCATCCACACTAACCTGGCGGGTCGTGGATGGAGCCCCTTGTTTGTTTACAATCACCCTCCGTGTCAAAATTGCGAAGCGAACGCCCCTCTCCGCAATAAGACGCACCCCTCTCAATCCTAGCACATCTCGACCCACTCTTCGCGAGGTTTTATCCATTTCAGGAAAGGTGCGTCAGAAATAAGCGCGAAACAAGATGCAACATGAAGAGATAATCAAAATCATCCTGATAGAACGATATTTCGAAACAACACAACTGGGGCTGTGAGATTCCTGCTTGCTAGTGGGCCACGACCAACCGACATCGAGCCGTGGACGGGAATAGAATCATCAGGTCAATATCCTGTTGCCTTGCCTGAGATAGCTTCGAAGGCTATGACATACTGACAGACGTCAACCTTCCCGTCTCCTACACGCTAGATGTCTCACCAGGGCTGTGCCGTGTTCTTCCGTGACACCATATTATCGGATGCTTCCTATGGGTTCATGGCCAGTGGACCACAATCTTTCAGTAACATGGCTGATATGTACTGAAGCGAACGCACATCACGCTAGTACATCCACAGTCGAGATATTTCACGTTGAATGTTGAATCAAAACTCACTGGGCACGATTTGGCAATTATATCGTTTGATCTTGTGCTACGATCAAATAGTATCGCAAAAGAGTGCGGTTTTGCCGTTCTAGACATCCATCAATCATGGCATCCATTCTGGTTATTATTGGTCTACTATTTTGTGGCCTTCTGCTTCTGTATCGAAGGGCGTTACCCAGGCCATACATTGGTATCCCATACAATGAAGAATCTGCGCAGAGAATCCTTGGAGATCTTCCAGGACTTCTTTCCCACTTCAAGAAAACCAAAGAAATCGCAAGCTTCTCGTTTCAGCAATGTCGCAATCTGGACTCGCCCATCGTCCAGATCTTCTTGCGTCCATTTTCGCGCCCGTTCATCTTCATCGACGATCCCCAGGAGGCTGAAGACATACTGCTCCGTCGAACTCGAGAGTTCGATCGGGCTCCATCGACCATTGCGTTTTTCGAGCCTTTGGTCCCTGAGGCGAGTATGGTCAAGCTCTCAAACCCGGCGTTCAAGGAACAGAGGCGATTGTGGCAGGATGTCATGTCGCCTCAATTTCTCCGAAAGGTCGTCGCTCCAAATGTGCATCGCTGCGCGTCTGAGTTAGTCGAACTTTGGAGTCGGAAATGTGCCCTTGCAAGCGAACACCCTTTCAAGGCTTTGGATGATCTGGAGTTGGCAGCGTTTGACTCCATCTGGATCGCTATGCTGGGAACTCGACTCACTGGCCTCCGCGACGAGATGAAGGCGCTCGAAAATGAAAGTTCTGCATCAGGCTCTGACAAAAACGAGCCTATTGAGTTCCCCAAGGCGCCTCGGTCAATCATGTACCATGCAATCGAGTACGTCAACGGCACCATTGAGCGAATTATGAGATCTCCATTCCCAGCCAAGCACCACTGGTGGATTCGACAGTCAAAGCAATACAAATACTACAGCAGCTTTAAGGATAAGGAGATTGATGGGCTGATTGTGAGGGCCCGTCTGCGCTTCGAGAAGCTCACTAGTCAGGGCGACATAGTTATTGAGGACGAAGGAGACACTTGCGCCATGGACCTAGTCCTTCGGCGTGAGGCGATCGCATTTGCCAAGACAGGGCAACGCTCCCCAGCATCCAGTGACACGGCAATGCGCGATGAACTTGCGATGTTGCTGGTAGCGGTAAGTGACACAGCGTGCCTGTCAAATTTGATCCCATGCTAAACATTCGCATCAGGGCCACGAAACAACCGCCATCACACTTGGTTGGGGCTTAAAATCACTGGCTGACAACCAAGTGGAGCAATCAAAGCTCAGAAGAAGCCTTCAAGATGCCTTCTCACCTGTGCCTGTAGGATCTGTGCTATCCGCTTCTGACATTCTATCTACCTCAATTCCCTATCTTGATGGCACATTGGAAGAAATTCTACGTTTAGCCAACACCGTGCCTCTACTAGCTCGTTCTGCCACAATCGACACTACCATATTGGGTTATCACGTGCCGAAAGGATCCCACATCATGTGCAATGCTCAGTTCATGAACGAGCCCATAGATATACCAGATGCTGCCCGCAGCGAGTCCAGTCGGGCAGCTTGGGAACGCCGCAAAGGACATGCTTTTGCCACGACGGATATAAAGCGTTTCATGCCAGAGAGATGGATCAAGAAAAACGAAAATGGCGTGGAGGAATTTGACTCTGCAGCATTGACGAGAATGCAATTCTCTCTGGGACCGCGAGGCTGCTTTGGTACGTCGATAAAACATGCATTCTATCAGAGAACCTTTGCTGACTATTACTTCCAGGCAGAAAACTAGCGATGCAACAATTACGCATATTTCTCGTCCTTCTTGTGTGGAACTTTGAGTTTCTCCCTGTTCCTGATATGCTGAACAGCCCGTGGGGCCATCAGAAGATCTTACGCCCTCCTCAACAATGCTATGTCCGACTTCGGAGAGTTTGATGTAGTTTTCACATAGAATATGTAGTAGCCATGACTTTGAGAACCAGTCAGAAGGATATTTGTGTCTCCTCCCAGTCTTTTCTAGGCAGAGTTATTAGTGTTCAAATTCAAATAACTTTAACTAGTAGGGATAATATGCTCAGGAAAGGTGCCAATGATGATAATGATAATAGTGATAACATCAACGACAACGACGATGTCAGAAGCACAAAAGTT